CTAGCATCCTGCCCCTTCAGTTCTCATCGCCCTGTGGAGACCTTGATAACTTATTATGTTTTCCCCATGTGCCGACAGAGGGCTGCGAATGTCGCGCTATTTTTTAACCTTGTGGAGACCTTGATAACTTGTGTTTCCCCCATGTGCCGACAGAGGGCTGCGAATGTCGCGCCATCTCATCAGCCACGCAGATGTTCAGCGGGGTGCACATCCCTTACATCTTCATGGACTGGTCCATCATGTTCCTCCACCAACGGAGACCAGACACCGTCTGCTCGCCAGAGTCAGTGGCGCAACGAGGGCGTGGGGCGTGGCGAAGGGTGTGGGAGCAAGGGGGACGGAGACGAAGGTCCATGACTTCCGTTCTTTTAGTATGCTTAGCTTTACTGGGAACAGGCAAATATTGGCCAATAAGGCACTATGAATTTTCAATAATGTGCGATGTGTTTTGCCAGTTTTGTCAGTTCTTGCAACGTTTGTGCGTCAAAGTGTCTGGGGCTACAGAGGCCTACCAATGTCGCGAAGACCTTTGTCGCCTTGGTCACCAGGCCCCCATTTTTGCTCTTTTCGACCGGATGTGTTTCATGCCTTTTCTTCGCTGTGTTTGGTGGCCTGGCACCTGCCCTTGATGCCTAACATACCTTTCTAATCTCACAGGAGTATCGAACGGATGACCATCTTCCTAGCGCACCGCGGTTACGTGCCGTACGAGGCGCAAACCAACGAGCAGCTCGACTGGCGCGAGAGCACAATGTGGCGCATCGGCTACGTGTATTGGCGCCATGTGTCTGCTGAGGACCTGCGGGATCCGCCGTCTACCACGCCGCCTCCCCCGCGAGACATTGATGATGAGGACTACGCCTACAGACCGTGGTAGCCTCGGGCTTGTCGGGTCGGTGCGGGATTCATACAACTAACTACTGTCCGTGGTGTCTCGGGCGTGTCAAGTCGGTGTGGGATTCGTGCAACTATCGGGTCAGATTGGCGCCGTCTGGCTCGGGGCTCTTGCAACTACAATTTGTGGTAGCCTCGGCAGATCAGGTCAGTGCGGGGTTACTACAACTACCAGATCGGGTCAGGCCAGCTGGTCCGGGATTCCCACAACTACATCTCGCAGAAGCCCGGCTTGGGTCGCGTCAACGCTGGCTGGTGCGGGTTTCACACAACCACGCCTGGTAACCGCGGGCGGTCAACAACATGGTGGAGTTGGACGGGTCGGGCCAACGTCGACGGTGCGGGATTCCTACAACATGTAGTGCGTACAACATGCTCAATGTGTGGTGCTTGAGTGCATGCTGGAGCGGTGAACTAGGGAGTGAGACGTTACGTTAGAGTTTTCACCAAGAATGTGTAATTAATTAGTACGGTCTGGTCGACTGGAGAGTGTTTCTAAATACATTGATCGTCTTAATGAGCTCAAATGCCAACTAATTCATCGTGTTCCTGTGTATCATTTTATGTCATCTACTGGCGAAATGGAGGGCATCATGTGTGACATCTCGATGTATTAACCTTCGCCCCAGTAGGGGGGGCATATGTTACCACCCTGTCGCGTTTTTTGCGTGTGAATAAAAAAAAGCGGCGCGTAGCGCCGCGCCACTTGCGGTAGCTTTTGGTACATCAATTTTAGACAATGTGTGAAATTTTTGACCCCAGGTCATGTCAGGTCAGGTCACCAGGTCAAGTTAACTGACCATGCCTAAAAAAAAGTTTTCAATCATGTCCAGCCTGCAGTGTTTGTCAGAAAGGTTTTAAACTTAATGGATTGCATGATGTTATGGGCGCCTACAATTTGTATATCTCGGATTTTTTATATCCGTGACCTAAGGTCAGGTCACTGGCGTGACCTTTCCATTACAAGTCAATGGAGAAAAATGAGAATGCCTCTAGATCCGTGTGTACGCATAGGAACAGTCCAAATATTTCAGAATCACAATGATTTGGACCACCCGTGATGACCAAGGTGTCATTTTTGCTGATAGCCTCTAGAAAGGTCATCCGAGGTCATTTGAGGCTACAAACAGCTTTTTGCCAATAACTCGCGATTGGAAAGAGCTAGAACGCTGGGAATGGTCTCATTGTGTTTGTCTTGTTGAGACGCATCGACTGATATACAACATGACCTTTTCCGGTCAGGTCATGACCTTGACCTGAGGTCAAATTTTCAAGTTGACCTTTCAAGGTCAAATTATAGTTCATTCGACGCGTCTCGGCGAGAGGAACACGATTCTGGCAATAGAAATGTCGTGACTTTTTGTAGTCGAAAGTTATTGTCGAAAAACACTTTTCGTAAAAACAGCTATTTTTGGAGTTTTTGGCCTCTGGAGGCTAAACCGTTGACCTGAGGTCAATTTTGATAATGACCTTATCAAAAGAAGAGTTCAAAAGCCATCGATTGCTTTCCCATGCGTTTTTCTAGCTACCATAGTTCCTGAGATAACGGCATGTTTTCTGAAAAATATAATGACCATTGGCAAATTTTGACCTTTGATGACCTCTGGTGACCCCAATATTGCTCTAAGATGAAAAATGACCGAAATACTTTCTAACGTACGCATTGAGAGCTATCGACTGCTTTTTACTGTGTCTTTCTAGCCCTCTTAGTTTTTGAGTTAAAGGTGGGTGGTAACATATGCCCCATCCCCCCCCCCCCACTAGGGCGAAGTTGGCTGAGACCACTACTGGGGCGCGGGTTAACAACGGCTTGTGGGACGTGAAAGAACTTCGGTTCCCGTAAAATAAAAACACACATCAATGTACCACATGTATAACAGTGAAGCAGGAAGGCAATAGAGCATCATGAATCCGCTCAGCGGAGCCCTGGCAGGCCAGCAGACCTCATCAGACCATTCATTGTGATGATCTTTGAGTTTGGAACTTCTGCGGAATGTTTCGAGTCTACGGGATTGATGGAGTTTGTGCCCACTGCGAGGGCGTTGTTGACAGGTGGTGGCTGGATACCAGTGTACGGGAACAGCGCAACCGTGGTTGCAGGATAAGACATTGAACAAATCGGTGACGTCACAACTAACTGACGTCATGAGAAACTTGCGCGTTGTTGTAGTCAGGTTTGTAACAAGTGCACTTCTGCGCCCCAGGGCTCTGTCTCTTCTGGTCGGTTGTCAATGGTTATCTGGTGGCGATAGTGCTCTGTTATTCCGCCACCAAATATGGCGGCATTTTGTAAGCCGCCCAATATGGCAGCATGTTATGACGTCATGTAAGCACACTGCCCTCTTTTTGGAGAAGCTGCCACTTGCCCCGGTCAAGTCCAATTCTCTGATGGCAGCGGACGACTGTATGTTGGGCTGGCTTCTGTTTGAATTGTTGTAGAGATTTTGTGCCCGTTTGTGTGTGTGGTTGTGATTTGCCCGTTGATGATTTGTGAATGAAACTAATACAGAAGGTGCTGATCGGTCATGCAATTCCTAGGCCTACAATTTCACATTCTAAAGTCGTCGAAGATAAAAATTGACCTCGGTTAGGCGGTAGGCATGCCTACATTTCTGCGAAAAGGGTCGTATAACAACAGATCAATAAACTGCAGCCAGACATTATAGATCTCCTAGAGATAGATCAACGTAGGGTACGCCCAAAACTAGTTTTTTTTTCACCGGTTTAACCCTCGCCCGCACATGCCATTTTCCCATCCTAGAACGCACATGGGGGGGGGGGTGGTTGCCACCCCCCCGCGCCATTTCGTTCCTGTTGGAGATAGAGCTTAGCGGTAAAGACCAAAAAGATTCTTTGGGAAGAGGCGAATCCAATGATACCCAGTTTTACCTTCTCAGGTCAGTCATTGACCTTCCAGGTCAGGTCAAACTAAAAAATGTTGCTGTTTTAGGTCACCGTTGGATATCAAGCGCGCTGCTTGTCATATACCGATGGCGATGCCGTTTTCTGGTGTCAAGCCAGCTAGAACCTCTTTGTCACACTACCGACCAGGTTTTTGCTGCTGAGGTCATCTCAGGTCAAGTTAGGTCAAGGTCAATAATATGTGTTTGTATGTCTGTGTGTGTCTGTGTGTATACTGATGTGTGCACCGATTGTTTATGTGTCCATATTACATGAAATCATGATCTGAGAAGCTTTTACCAAAAATGTAGTCAAAAAATTTCAAAAAAAGTAAATTCAGCTTGCTTAAAACGCAATTATCTTAGATGACCTAGGTTGACCTTGACCCTGACCTTGACCGCTGTACATCGTCGAACAACATGTTTCATGATAGGTGGGAGGTAGGATTGGCATAAAAGGCCGAAATCAAGGTGGTAAAAGCTCACAAGGCCCATAGCCAACGCAAGATGTTGAGAATTGGCCATTTGGGTCATGACATGACCTGAAAAACAAGGTCATATCTCCGAAACCAAAAACCACAGAAACTTGAAATTTTCAGTGGACATCAAGAAAGGATAGAGGAGCAGCTATACAAAAAATCAGCCTTCTAGCTCTAAAAATGTTGAGTGCAGAGCAGAAAGACTACCTGGGGGGGGGGGGTGGCAACCCCCCCCCCCATGTGCGGGCGAGGGTTAAGGCCACTTATTTTTCATCCCTTGACTTTTCAAAAAGAAAACATTTGCATAAAAAGTACGGTATTCCGTCTCAAAGTTGTGGGGGCACCGCCCCCACGGCCCCAGAGTTTTGGGGGCAGGCTGCCCCCACTGCTCCCGGGCTCCCGCGCCTATGGTCGCAACACAACGTCCCCATCTTTACATATCACATTAGCCACATTTCTAACTAGCAACACGTGCCTCCCTCCCTCCCTCTCCTCCCAGTTGGGAGGGGGGGGGGGGTCGGACCGTCTTGGAACGATCACCCAGCCCAGCTGAGAGCTCTCCCGTGCCGGCTGGTCGGTGACGTAAGCAACTTTCACTGCCCGTCGCCTAGCCGCCGACACAGGATAGCCGGCGCGCCGCGACCGGTTTTGGCTCGGCGCCGCGCGGTGCCTACCCTCAGCCATCCTGTGCGGTGCCGTTTTGGCAGAGCGCGGGGGGCGGCGGCCGGGTGCTCCTAGCAGAGCTGGCAGTCGCATCGCTAGTGTGGGAGAGGAGGGAGTGTGGGTAGAGTGAGGAGAGAATCCAGCGAGTGTGGGAGGCAGCTTTGGTGTTGCAAGAAAGCTTCAGGAGAGGACAGTCAGACTCGGATCTTGCAAAGGTAAGCAGCTGCGTCGCAACGCGTTATTGCAGGTAAATTGTATTGCATTGTCCAACATTTACCTGAGAACTCAGAAACCGTGCAATGACAAAAGGCAACAGGTGACGCGAGGCGAACAAGGTCCCAATGCGTTCTTTGTGCATTGTAAATCAGAACCTACTCGCGGGGTAAGTCTAAGCCACTTGTTATTTAGGTATAGTAGGTACCAGCAATTGCAACACGCATTCGCGATAGTTAGCATATTATGCCGATACATCGGTTGCATTGTAGTTCCCGATATGACATGTTGGTAAAACCTTTGTGCACTGCACCAGCCCGTCGTAGGCATAAGGCACGTCTTTTTTATCTGTCTTCATTGTATATGAGCTACACATTTACGAGAGGGCGGGCACACCTGGTCGCTCCCACAGCTATGCAATTGCATATGATTAGCATTGGAAACAACGCGCACCTGAATATTTGACGCGAACCAAACCGGCTACTACCAGCCAAAGCTGGTTCTGGGGATACGGTAGACGGTCCCCTTCACGACAAGCGAGTCGCCTTGGCCCGGCGACCGGCGACATCCATAACTCAATTCCCCCTTCAGGGAAGGGGGAGGGAGCAGGGGGGGGGGAGGGTGCATTCGTAACCCACCCGATGTCTGCCAATGCGCATACCTTCGAGAGCTACTTGATCCGTCGATCGAATGACTGGCGAGTGTAGTATTTGTTGATAAATGAACATCGAAGGATGTATCATGTAACAAGATGCTTAGGAGTTCGTAGGCGGGTCCGAGCTACGTCTATGGTCGTGCTTACAAATGGTCAATTTGTAAGGCGTTGGCCCCGGCTCCAGTAGCACAGCATTCGACCATTCGGACTGGATTTAGGAAAGACATCCCTTTAGATAGTTTCATACACCCGACCTAAAGTAAACGAATGAATGTATGGAGCCCATTGATCTGCTTTATGAGACGAAAGGCTGCAGTGTTTCACATCCGCTGTCCGTTGTTTCTCTTGGCTCTGCATACTACCTGAGGCTGCATGGCTGTCGGTCATAAATTATCATGGTGATGAGGCCCGAATTTCCTCCATTTCCTTTGTATTGAACGCTTACAATCGAGTAGGTAATTGATCCAGAAACGTGTTGACATGAGACCCTGCAGCCTCTTTTGTACATTTGGTCGAATAATCTTACAAAACTGTCCTTTTTTACACGTGTTCCTACGAAGTTGAACTTGCTAAGGATACCTATTAGCGGTTTGATTGGTTTTCAGTCGGCTTATTTCTATTGCATGAGATGATACCTACTGATGTCAATTATGGAAAATCGTGATACCGACACCAAACCAAATACCAACAATACCGACGGAAAATACCGAAACCGAACCGACTTGGGAATATGAGGAAAATACCAAGTTTTTACCAAATTTTCAGCCTCTTTTTTACTACTTAGGATTCATAATACCAACAAAATACCAAATGCATTCGCCTTGAAATACCAAACACCAAGTTGGTATCGGTTTGGTATCGGTATGCCAAAAAGTTACTAGGTATCTGATTCGCATCTCTAGTGCATGACTATTTCAATTTCCCGATGAGAGAAAATGATCTCTTAGATATAGCCATTCCGATCTCACCTCTTATGATACCATAAAAGCATATAAGTGTAAGCAATATGCGTATAAGGTAATTTCCTCTAAATCACACAGAGTAACCTGTCGAGTGTCGCAGTATTGCGTGTTAGGAAAGCAGGCTTCACGTATTATTATAGTGACAGCTCAAACAATTAACGGCACTCATAAAAATGAGCCCATAATTAGACATAGATACTGTCACACAGAAGGGCAGACACTACGTGCCACTACGACGAGGGGCGTAAGTTCAATGTCTGACTCCATGTGTTATAATCTGCGTCACCGTTTATAAATATACCTACACCCACCCTGGGGGGAGGCATATGCGCGTCACGTCTGAGCGTATGTTTGACGTCGGTGGCCTCTCAAGCATATAAGCTGTGGTTCATCTCATCAGTCCATGTGTGAGTGGGTGCGGAAAATCGGGGACCCGTTGAGCTTGATACCTTATATGGCGATAGAGCCGTGCATAAAGATATAGTCCTAGGGTGATCTCATTTTGCCATTAGTTTTACCTGCGAAGTTTTTACTTTTTTCGTTTTCATCGTGTTTATGATGATTCCCAGATGGGTTTTTCATTGCCTCTACTTTCTAAACGGGAAAATGACTAGAAATAATTTTACCTTGACTCATCGGCTACAAATGTACCGGTAATTTAGGTGCAGATACATGCCATTTCTCGCAAAATCAATGAAACAGTTAAATGTATTGAAACGCCCATATGATTATGAACTGAAAGCGACTGTTTACCAGCAATTTTAGATGTCCTACCTACCTATCTACAATAAAATACTGCTATTTGCTAACTCATGTTAGATTTCTAAAAGGGCCTGTTTTCAACTTGAATAGCATTTTATTATAAAAATCGTAATCTGTTTAAGAACAATAGACGTACGGTTCTCCAGGGTATTAGTCGTTGGTCGCTCGGCGAGCGGGAGGGCAACCAGTTCCGCCCCTGTATCGCGTGACCCCTTGCTCCGCCCAGTTACGCACGAGCGTACTCCACGCCGCGTAGTAGCGTGGGGAGGGGAGGGTTAGAATGGTGGCATGTGTAGAGGCTAGAACCGGTTTCCACCGCCATGCCACCGCCCAGCGACATGGAGCGGGGTCAGTGACCAGGGCGCAGGGAAAGGTCAGAGGTCAGCTATAACGTAGAGCTTTGTGTCTCCCTCCCCTTCGCGTGTAACGACCGCACGACAGCGGCCGGCCGCCGATCAGGCTTGACATGTCAAGGTCACCCGCAGTCAACGGGCTCAGAGGGTTGGTCGAGTGCGCGCCCTTGGCTGAGGACAGTCTCGACCATGTGCTATGGTGCCGATAGACTAGCATGGGTAATAAGTTTTTGTTCAGTGCATATGGCTGCTGGGGTGTGCTATCTTGATTGATGCTTTGTAACGTGTATGATACGCTTAAAACGTCGCTGGCAGTGGCCGAGAGGAGATGGGGGGGGGGGGCGGGGAGGTGGGTGCCGCCTCCACATGTTTATTTTTGCTGATAGCTGCGGGGGCTGAAATTTGGCAAGCCTGACCTTTGATTCAAGGTGAATTTTTATTACAGCAGCTGTATTTTCACCCTCGCCCATATTGTTGTTTTGCCAGCGTCTATCGTAAAGGGGGGAGGGTCCGTTGGACCCCTTTGCCGTTCAGCCCCTGATCGAGCTAGAGCTTCGCAGAAAAAGAGCGTGTTTCCCGTGACGAGAGGAGGCCGATGATACCCAATTTTAAGGTCCTAGGTCATTGGTTGACAGGTCAATATAACTCAAAAGTCGGGGAATCGGGACCTGTTAGAGCTTCGTAAAGTGAAGCTGTTATAGGGTTTTGCGTTGTGCTGATCACGAATTTCAAGCTAGTTTTGATCACAAATGATGTTTTCGTGCATTTAGGCCAGGTCGGGTCAGGTCAGGTCAGGTCACATGTTACGAAGGAACCAAAACTACTTCTTAAATGCTCAAACGGTTTCTAAATGCGAAATCGACTCCAAAATCTACCCTAGAAACATGTAGAACTCGAAAGAGTGAACAAAGGTCATCAAAGGTCAGTGACCTGACTGACCTTCACGTGACCTTGACACCCACTAAAATCCATGGGATCAACATCCTTTCACATGTTTGATCGCTTATAGCTACAAAAAGACAATAAAACGCGCTCTACTCGAAATACGCCAAAACGCGATTCCGGCCAAACATGGTCTCGGAAAACAGGTCACAAGTCAAAGGTCTTTTGAGTCAGGGTCATACAAATTATAGGGTAGGCGTTATATTGATTAACCCGCGCCCCGCTGGGCTATTCAGCCATACGCGCCCTGCTGGGGGGGGGGGGGGGGCAGATTCTGCCCCCCCTGTCTAACTTCCGAACCGATGGTCGTAGAAAGACGGGGAAAACGGCAATCGAAAGCTCTCAACAAGGCGGATCTTAAGAGCCCAAATTTTTTTGCTTAAGTAGGTCAGAGGTCAGGTCAAGGTCAGGTCAAGGGTACAAAATGCAAGTTTCTACAGTATCGGCCTTGCACCGTAGTTGCCGAAGAATGGACTGAGACTGATTGCCCAAAACGTGTTCTTAGACTACCAAGACAATATTCGTTGCATACAATGTCATTCAAAGGTCAAGGTCAAGGTCAGGTCAGGTCAGGTCAGGTCACCAAAAACAAAATATAGAAAAGGGCATGTGCGACACATGTTTTATGGTTCATTTTACTCATAGAATTCAATAGGCACACTCAATAAGTGATATAGACCACCTCTGGATGAATTTCAGGTCGAGGTCAGGTCAAGGTCAGGTCAAGTGAGGTCAAATTTTGAAGTTGGTTGTTAAGGCCCAAAAAGGTGTCTATCTGATGCAGTTTTTCACGGCGAATCGAGTGGTGCTATTTTTGTTTCCGTACGAGGTCTAGAACTTCCAAAAAAATCATTTTTTCAAAAATTTTGTGTGTCGTGACGTCATAAAATTTTGAATAACTCCCACATTTTTGAATCGATTCTTCTGAAAATTGGTATGTAGATGCACATTGACCACTTCTCTGACATATATTCCGGTTTTTTCGATACACTCAAAATTTTGGATTTTATAACTATTTTCCCAAAAAAATCAGTTTTTTGAAAAATTTTGGGCCAAAATCCAAAATTTTCAAAAAACCGAGATAGCCATTTGATAGACAACGTGAAATCACGTATAACCTTTTTTGTTACGTCTTGATTCCTTTAAAAATGAAGATGTTAGCGGCGTTTGAAATTTTGCCGTTTTTGAGGCGAAAATGGCGAACATGACGTCACTAAAACGTCGATTTCTCAAAAATTTTCCGACGGATTTCGTTCAAATTTTCAGGGAACGTGTCAAATTGATGTATGATAAGGTACTGAAAGTTTGACGTCGCTGGCGTAACGCGTTTAGAAGTTATTGGCGAAAAACGGGAGGGGGGGCAGATTCTGCCCCCCCCCCCCCCAGCGGGGCGCGGGTTAACTCGAGGGTATTAAAAGTTTCGTCGCAATCAGCCGCTTTTTGCGCGAGTTATTTGCGAAAAAAACTGAGGGTAGGAGGTCTGTTCGACACCCTCCTACAAGTGCGAAGGTTAACCCGCGCGGGGCTGGGGTCTCCAGCCGAACGCGCGGGGCTGGGGGGGGGGGTGTAAATTTTACCCCCCCTGTTATCTCCCGAACTAATGGTCCGATTTGGAAAATTCAAACGCCAATCGAAAGATCTCATCACGAACAACTAAAAACATGTACTTAATTTTAAGTTTGAGGTCAAGGTCAAGGTCAGGTCAAGGGTACAAATTGCAAGTTCCTACCGTATCGGCCTTGCACCATAGTTGCCGAAGAATGGAGTCATGGACTGAGACTGATCGCCCAAAACGTGTTCTTAGGCTACCAAGACAATATTCGTTGCATACAATATCATTCAGAGGTCAAGGTCAAGGTCAGGTCAGGTCAGGTCACCAAAAACAAAATATAGAAAAGGGCATGTGCGACACATGTTTTATGGGTCATTTTACTCATAGAATTAAATAGGCACACTCAATAAGTGATATGGACCACCTCTGGATGAATTTCGGTTCGAGGTCAGGTCAAGGTCAGGTCAAGTGAGGTCAAATTTTGAAGTTGGTTGTTAAAGCCTAAAAAGGTGTCTATCTGGTGCAGTTTTTCCCTGCGAATCGAATGGTGCTATTTTTGTTTCCGTACGAGATCTAGAACTTCCAAAAAAGGTCATTTTTCAAAATTTTTGTGTGTCGTGTCGTCATACAATTTTGAATAACTCCCACATTTTTGAACCGATTCTTCTAAAACTTTGTATGTAGGTGCACATAGACCACTTCTCTGACATATATTCCGGTTTTTTCGATACACTCAAAATTTTGGATTTTATAGCCATTTTCCCAAAAAAGTCAGTTTTTTTAAAAAAAATTTGGGCCAAAATCCAAAATTTTTAAAAAACCGAGATAGCCGTTTGATAGACAAAGTAGAATTACGTATATCCTTTTTTGTTACGTCTTGATTCCTTTAAAAATGAAGATGTTAGCGGCGTTTGAACTTTTGCCGTTTTTGAGGCGAAAATGGCGAACATGACGTCACTAAAACGTCAATTTCTCAAAAAATTTCCGGCGGATTTCGCTCAAATTTTCAGGGAACGTGTCAAATCGATGTAAGAAAAGGTACTGAAAGTTTGGCGGCGCAGATATTGCAAAAATTCGCGAGGCGGGGTAAAATTTACCCCCCCCCCCCCAGCCCCGCGCGGGTTAAGGTCAGGCCGTTGACCAATGACGTCAAAAGTGAACCTCTGTAAGGTCCCAAAATGTCGCGACGTCGCAGCACCCTTTGTGCCAGGGGACTTTTCAACGGGGAATGAACTCAATGAAGCTTATATAAATATGATCTAGTACTATCTCCCAGAGGCCTCACAAGTTGTATGTAGCTATCTCGTATTTTTCTTAAGAGTCACCTGAAGTCAGGTCGGTCACGCAGCCTCACGATTATTAATCAATGGGGAAATATGAAAGCTGTTATTTTGGCGCCGGGAACCATCTAAAGCTGTCTCAAGCGCATTAATTCGTGATATACAATCTTTGGAAGCCCCAGCATTCACTTTTCCATTCTTAAAGTTAGGCGACTTCATTTATGACGTCACAAAGGTCACAGGAGTTTTCACCAAAAAGTCCCGATCGAATTGAGCTAGCGAGTCGGGAAGCCACCAGTGGACTTGTGAGGACCTACCGAATCAAAGAAGCGATATGACCTCCTTGAGCCAGCCTCGTGGCTTGAGTGGCTCTGCCCTGACATGACCTGAAGTGAACACCTTAAATTGACCTCAACAAAAACAAAGCGCTATTCGACGCGCTTGAGCATGCAAAACTCGATGGTGCCATTATCTTGGCTCTGTTACCACTTATGGTGAAGTTGTTTACCAAAAACCGATCCCGCGACTTGGAGCTCTTATACTGACCTCAGAGTTTATCGGTTGACCTGAGACATTCAACTAGGGTAACAGTTGCTGCATCTCATACGACGCACGCGCTCAGTTTTATCCGCAAGGCGCTAGCTCAATTAGGGGCAAAAAGACGGAGAGGGGTCGTAATCGCCCCCCTCCCCTCGGCCGGGGTTTATGCAGAAAACCCAAGATTCCGTTGAGGGTTAACCCGCGCCCCTTAGGGCTACCGGCGGACCCTACCACCCGTAGGGGGGGGGCGTTTCGGCCCCCCCCCTAAGATCTCGGAAATGTACCGGCCGATTTTCAAAATTCAAACGGCGTTCGATAGCCCCACCAGAGAACTACCTTGTGACCAAATTTCATTGACCTAGGTCAAATTGATGACGTCACAGGTCAGGTCAAAGGTCAGATTTTCACCATTCACAGGCATTTCAAGAAATGTGTTGTAAAATCGAGTAAATTGGTAAGTTATTGAAAACCATCGATGAGACATTGTTCGTCAAACACATACTTCGCTATCTGAGGTCACTGATACCAGGTCAGGTCACAGAGGTCAGGTCACTGGGGGTCACAATATGAAAATGTCGTGTGATACATGTTTTATGGTCCATTTTACATGACAAATGTGATTTTGTGGGTCAGGCAGCCTTTGGGGCCAGCTTAGGTCACGTTTTGGTGAAGGTCAGGTCAAATTAGGTCAAATTTCAAAGTTGATATTTTGCATAAAATGGGTATCCATTCGATGCAGCTCGTCACGGGGAAATCAATGGTGGTCTTTGTTTTGCCCTACGTGGTCTAGAATTGCCAAAAACTGAGTTTGAAAATTTGACGTCATCATTTTCGAACAGTTTTTTCGCTATAACTTGGCCAAAAAACGAGATATTGATCTGAAATTTGGTATGTAGATAGAAGACGGTAGCGACTATCACATTATTATATTCCGGTTTTTTCGAAACTCAAAAAAAATTTGGATTTTTGGCTAATATAACCAAAAAATTGCATTTTTGATTTTTGGGGGTCAAAACTCAACAATTTCAAAAATCCGAGACAGCAGCTTTGTAGCCCTGTCAATTTTACACCTTTTATGTTTGATCATTTTTTCTGTATCTTCAAAGCTGTAGGCCTGACAGCTCTTCTCGCGAAGGTCTTTTTTTCGGTCGAAAATGGCAGAACATGACGTCATTCTGACGTCATTTGTGGCCAACCTATCATAGCCTCTGGAAAAGTTTTTCAGTCACCATGTGTAAAATTGATGCCCGGAGGGGTCCTGAAAGTTTGGTGACGATCTCCCCAGCCGTTTAGGAGATATCGACGGAAAAGGACAGGGGGGGCCGTTTCGGCCCCCCTACGGGGCGCGGGTTAAGTTCTGAAGTGATATATTATGATGCGAGAAGGTATAGGTCAAAACAAGTATGCACACGAGCGGATGTGTATAAAACTGTGTTTGAGGTATGCCTTTTTTATTAAACAATCGATTTGCTTTAGTTATTGGTAAGAACAGATACAACCAAGAAGAGCGCCCCTGAAGAAAAGGTGGCGCACCGGACGGGTGCGATTTTAAGGTCTAAGGTCAGTCGGGGACCTCTAAGTTCGGATCAAGCGCTGCATGTTAGGGGTAAAAAAATGGGGGCAAAAAAACATCCCGATTTTGGCAGCATCGTCATGCTTTGTCACGGCACTCATCCACTCCCTCGGCCGAAATATTATTTTCTTTTTGTATGAGTTCTGGCATAATCCCGCACATTATGCTGCATGTTGTTTGCTATGAAAAAATGCACGTTCAGCTACGTTCTACGCAGTACGCACTAACCTAACCACCATCCCATCATCCACCACTAGCCACCATCCCGTTCTGTGCTCCCTTCCACCCCACACGAATCAGCCGAGATGCTAGTCACTCGGGCTAGCGCTATCCTATCCTCTCTTCCTGACTGCACAGCGCTAAAACCCAGAGCCGAGACTTCCCGAGCGCGACCTCTGACCCCACGCGGTCCGAAGGGTCAGCCGATGCCTAAGGGCGCGCCGCGCGCCGGCCACCCGGATAGCCTCTGCCGAGTCTCCCTTTCATACACCGTTTACAACGCGTTCGATTCATTCATGTTTCTGTGTTTCCGCGTTCCTCTCGTTAGATGGCTCTACTGATGTCATAGGCGATCCCAGGAAGATTGCGGCCAGAATACCCCAAACGGCAGAAAATGAGGTTTTTGGTGAATATCTCGGAAAGTATTTGGCATACAACGATGCAATTTCACAGTCTCGTGGTAAATGTGCATACACATAATTCGGGTTGATACTTATGCATTTGAACATTATATAGGACCAGATATGTATGAAAAAGCAAAACCAACAAGACTTTTACTGGAGAACCGTACCTTTGCGTTTTGGTCCTATCTAATACACTTCGAAGCCAGTGAGCCGATGACGGGCGCGCTGGTTATATTTCAGTCCATAGGTGGCACCACCGTCTAGCGCCTGCGAGCGCTATGATGCTGCACCGCACGACACATCTCGGTCTGCATGGGACAAGCGACGGACGGGCGGCGGTTACACGGCCCAGGCTAGACGTTTATATACATAGACGTAACTGACAATGACACCAACGAGAATAATGTATTAACATAGGAGACATGCCTATAGGAGCTCTGTTTTGGCATTTGTATGCGTCCTTCTAATTATACCTATAGGTATTAGTTTGTTTTGGTGATCCGTGTGTTTTATTGCTGCAGTTATTCAGATCAAGTTTTAAAAGTCATATGCATCATTTTCCCGCTTGTGTGCGCGTTTTTGGTAAACTTTTGGCGTGATGTCCAATGCATAGGTACATGAACATACAATTACATAGGTACCTATATCTGCATGATGCCATGTCCGACTATACAGCCGAACTATATTAGGTATAATTACAACTCAGTGCCAGTGTTGTAACCTCCCCCCCCCCTTGCCCCTCTCACAGGTACCGGTCGGCCCGCGCGGCTGGCCCACCGGCTCCATGTGGCGGTGTCGCCACCGCCGCTACTACTTGACCCTCCTGGCCGTCTCCCTAGCCTGGGTCGTCCTCATCGCCGCCATCGTCCGGTTCGCGCACATACGTGAAGCCCGGCTACGAACGGGGCGCGGCGCGGCGCGTCTCAATGTGGCGATCAGGACGCGGCAGGGCGTGCTGCCCATCAGGATAGCTGAGGTGGAGACCCTGAAGGCCAGCCCGCTGGAAAAATGGAGCAACGAACAGATGAAGCTGCTCAACATGTAGGTCGGGGATGGGCGAGGTGATGAGCGCTGTTTAGTGTCATTGTGTGGCCTAATTAGGTTAGCCAGAATACGTTCGACTGAATGAAAAAAAGCCTAAACGTTGCGGTATGAGTGTACCTACCGTTTCTCTACTTTATTCGTACAACACGGTTTAAAATGCATAATAAGTGTGCTTAAGACGTTCTGTCATCCAGTTTCATGAAGTGAGTCTAGTCTTTATTACAACTTGTCCGATCTCAAATATTTGTATAGTCGACTGCAGAATGATGTTCCACTTTTCACAGGCAATTATTTACCTGGAGTGGTAGGCTGTGCCGCATCACACGGGCTGAGTTCACAAATTATAGCTTTGTCCCAATGCTCACAATCGACACGCTTAATTGCGTGATAAACGGCACAACTTAGCGCTCCGGTCAACTGATAGCTTCTGAGGAGTGGAACATCATTCTGTAGTCGACTATACGCCTGCACTTTTCCAGATGTTTTTTTTTTATATGACTGCTCACCGCAGTGCATAACTTCTACCAAAGTTGTCTCAGATTTCCCAAGATCTTTTTACATAGCCTCCAAATGACTATGACCAATGTAAGTATGCCAATAAATGCGGCTCGAGTCATCAGGCATCATTAATATCCGGCAATGAAAAAGGTCACCCCCATTTACCCCTTTTCCCCGCCCCCAGGACGTTCCGGCCGTGGTTGTCGACCCGCTCCGACTGTTCCCGGCTCAGCACCGGGTTCGGCCGCCACCTGCCCACCGTGGCGCTGGTCAGCCTCCCCAGCAGCGGTAACACGTGGATGAGGTTCCTCATCGAGGGAGGGTCCGGCGTGTTCACCGGCAGCCTCTACAGCGACCTGACCATCGTCAAAGCAGGTCAGTGACCTGAGAGGTCGGGGTGGGTGACGACCAATGTAAGGAGAGGTCAGGGCAGGTCAGCGACCCGAAAGGAAAGGACCGGAATGGTATGGGCTTGTGATCCGACAGATGTCAGCGCAAGCGACTTGACCATTGTCAAGCATGTCACTGACATGACAAGAGTTCAGGGCCAGTGACCTGCAGTGGGACTCGGAAAGGTGGTCACAGGTCAACAAATGATTTTTTTGATAAAAATAGTCCCGGAGTGTCATATTGCCTGCCGGCTACCGTACTGGAATTCAAGTTGACTGGATTGTGCAGGAAGAATGACATGGGTGCTATACGCATAGCGATATTGAAGAGGCAAATTAAATTCATCGACGCTAACCGCGCTCATTTGAGTTCGTCTTGACCCTTGAGCCAGGTCGAGCGGCCATTGACGAACCAAGATCTTTGGTCTCCGTTTGCATAATCACACGCACTGCTTGGCTTCAGTCTGACTGGACCTCTCCCATTTCCCCGCAGGAATGTACGGCGAGCTGGTCCCCCACGACTCCGGCACCACGATCGCCCAGAAGACGCACGGCTTCACCACTCTGGAGGGAGTCACAGCCAACCCCAGCGAGCAGCGGCGGCGGTTTGCGCACGTACAAGAGCTGGGGTGTCGGGCGATCCTGCTGGTTCGGGACCCGGCGGCTGCTATAGTTAGTCATAGGCATCTGGATGCGGCGGGGCATCTGGGCTTCGCGCCGCAGAGCCACTTCGAGGGAGAGGGTGAGTGTAGGGAAGAGGGATGGGAGGGGGACGGTAGAATGACAGAAAGAGGGAGGAAAGGAGAGGGACGGTAGAAGGACGAAACGTACGTAGACTGTCAGCGAAGGCCGAAGGGACAGGGAAGGAGACAGGACTGAAAGGGAAGAAATGGGAACGGTGGACACTACACTGGAAGGGAGGGAGAGAGGGAATGAAAGGGAGATGGAGAGGGAGAGGGAGACGGAGAGGGAGAGGGAAGGCAAGAGATTAGAGGAATAGTGGAAGAGGTCATGGACTGCTGATTTGACATGGTCGAGACAAAGTCTTGAACAAGAGAATACCAATACCAAACGCGTATGTGACGCATGCATGAATATTACGTGTGCTGCAACTTCATCACTCCTTTCTGGCTTCTCTCACAGGCTGGGATAAGTTTGTGGACCAGAAGGCCGAGTTCTGGTACAGTCTGTACGCCGCCTGGATAGATCAGTGTCCTCCCGAACAGCTGCTGGTCGTGCAGTATGAGAAGCTGAAGAGCCAGCTGAACACAGAGCTGGAGAGGGTGCTGCGCTTCCTCGGGGTCCAGCCCGACCCAGAGAGGATGAAATGTATCGAGAGGTGAGGGACGGTGAATAATGTTAGAATGGAGGACGATCGACGCGGCATACGTGCTGGTTTGTATGTGATATGTTTTTAGACCCTAAACCACGATCTCCCGATCTTCTGATCTCTCTGAATCCTGATCTGACACCTGACTTACCTAACTCACCCAGTTATCCCGCGCGGGGCTGGGGTCTCCAGCCGAACGCGCGGGGCTGGGGGGGGGTAAATTTTACCCCCCCCCCCTGTTATCTCCCGAACTAATGGTCCGATTTGGAAAAATCAAACGCCAATCGAAAGATCTCATCACGAACAACTAAAAACATGTACTTAATTTAAAGTTTGAGGTCAAGGTCAAGGTCAGGTCAAGGGTACAAATTGCAAGTTTCTACAGTATCGGCCATGCACCGTAGTTGCCGAAGAATGGAGTCATCGACTGAGACTGATTGCCCAAAACGTGTTCTTAGGCTACCAAGACAATATTAGTTGCATACAATATCATTCAGAGGTCAAGGTCAAGGTCAGGTCAGGTCAGGTCAGGTCACCAAAAAACAAAATATAGAAAAGGGCATGTGCGACACATGTTTTATGGGTCATTTTATTCATAGAATTCAATAGGCACACTCAATAAGTGATATGGACCACCTCTGGATGAATTTCAGGTCGAGGTCAGGTCAAGGTCAGGTCAAGTGAGGTCAAATTTTGAAGTTGGTTGTTAAGGCCTAAAAAGGTGTCTATCTGCTGCAGTTTTTCACGGCGAATCGAATGGTGCTATTTTTGTTTCCGTACGAGGTCTAGAACTTCCAAAAAAATCATTTAAAAAAAAATTGTGTGTCGTGACGTCATAAAATCTTGAATAACTCCCACATTTTTGAACCGATTCTTCTAAAAATTGGTATGTAGGTGCACATAGACCACTTCTCTGACATATATTCCAGTTTTTTCGATACACTCAAAATTTTCGATTTTATAATTATTTTCCCAAAAAAGTCAGTTTTTTGAAAAAATTTGGGCCAAAATCCAAAATTTCAAAAAATCGAGATAGCCATTTGATAGACAAAGTAGAATTACGTATAATCTTTTTTGTTACGTCTTGATTCCTTTAAAAATGAAGATGTTAGCGGCGTTTGAAATTTTGCCGTTTTTGAGGCGAAAATGGCGAACATGACGTCACTAGAACGTCAATTTCTCAAAAATTTTCCGACGGATTTCGCTCAAATTTTCAGGGAACGTGTCAAATTGATGTAAGAAAAGGTACTGAAAGTTTGGCGGCGCTGCGCGCCGCCGTTTTTGAGATATTGCAAAAATTCGCGAGGGGGGGTAAAATTTACCCCGCCCCCAGCCCCGCGCGGGTTAACTCACCTCAGTGAGGACCTCACTGATCTCTGCTCTGACACTTGACAGACCCCGACTTCATCGACCCTGCCTTCGGACCAACGGCCTTTGAAATCAATTTTCTCTTACCTCTGACCTGACAGCTCGCTGATCTTTTCCTCTGATATATGGCCTGCGACATCGATGGTGTCTGACATCCTGAGTTTCCACGCCCCAGATATCTTGCCTCCCAGACGGATCCCAGACATCCTAGTGTTAATTAACCCTTGTTTGATCTTCCTAGGGATTGATCTTCATGTTCTGACCTTTTTTACCCTCTGCATTCTGATCTCTTGTCCTTTCCCTGCCCTGCGAGTTGACCTCCTTGACTTCTCTAAACCCTGACCTCTGACCCCTGTGACCTGACCTCTCGGCTCTCTGACCCCTAGGGTCTGACCTCTGACCCTTCCCTCAGGTACCCTCGCGGTAACATGCAGCGGCGGACTCGCGCCAACAGCACAGGACCGCAGTCACCCTTGTCTGACAGACACAGACAGCGAATCAAACGCAGCGTGCTCGCCCTTCACCGGCTGGTCAGCGAGCACCAACTCGGCGACGGCATCGCAGACTACTTGTGACGTCAGAGTGACGTCATAGGACTGAACGGGGCAGGTCTGGTCTTGGGAGGAGTGATGGCTGCCCGGACTAATGTGACGTAACTTCCCGGATGGTGCGTTTTCCTTTGAGTCATGCGAGAAGAGAAAGGACGGTTTTCGATATGCAATTCATTACGTGATTAGTCTGATCGGAACTAAGTGGCGGTTTTCAGGACATAAGAGCACATCAAAGTCATGAACTGGGAGGGAATGAAAAGGGGAAGGGGCGAGGTTTGTGAGTGAAGATATGGATGGTATCCTACATCAGCTGTGACTTTTCACATATGATAGTGGTGAGAAAAGATGTTCTTTGTGCTACTATCTGAGAAGAGATTAGACATCTCGTGTGCTTTTTCTATCAGCTGAGAAGAGCTTTTCGGTTAGGTCGTGGTACCAATGGTTTACTGTCTCACGATGTTTTTACGCTTACGTGCTCATTGGAGAAGCCTACCTAAATATTTATTGGGCGATGGTCGGTAATGATCAATGAGTAATGACAACAGGCGGCCCGTGGATAAGGTCATGCTCTTTCAAATTGCGCCATAGAAACATGAGGCGTTTGTTTGACAGAATTCTGCTCAAAGCGCTGGTATGCCGAGGCCCTGAAACGTAGCAGTCATCGTTTCTTGCATCGTGTCTTGCATAGTGTCTGGCAAATTCAACAAGCATAATCACTGCCTTAACATATAAGGATGTCAAACGCTCATAATATTTATCTCCTGTACTGAGCATCTTGAGACGAACGGTGAGATTGAAAGCCTAGATAAACCCATTACGATAAACATTCAGCCAGAAATAGCGAGCAATTTATGTAATGCAAGCTGTTGACTCCTGCGTTTTTCACCGAGTAGGCGCTTCAAGGTTCTTTCAGTATTACCCCACTAAGGAACCATACAATCCAGTGTGCCAAATTCTACCAGACGCGAAGGGCGAATCCTCGGGCACTCGTGTGTCAATATTCGTTCCTTTTACATTGTAACCCCTGACCGTCATATTTTCGCGTTATGTTATGTGAGCTGGTGTTTTTTCCTGATATCGAGGCTACTCCGTTCCACTGTGCATGGCCGTGCTATCTTGTTTGCAATCCCTCTCGTGCAATGTTTTAGCCACCGATCTGATGCTCCCATCCACTGTGCGTCGCTATCATTGCTCCATTGACGTCACAAATGCGCGAGTCTAAGCTCCATAGCCGTCCGACGGCAGTGCTGTGACGTCACCGATAGGCCAAATAATCACATCTAAGGCGAGAGATGACATTTAGGAAAGGATGAACTCTTGCGAGGAATGTTGATATTGCAGGGTGATCTGCGACATTGAGATGGCCTGTGCAATTGGTCGTTTTTATAAACACCTTTTAACGTGGATATGGCATGAACCTGTTTGGAAAACTGTCTCTTTCCATCGTGATTTGTGATGCTAACTGACGTGCCTTACAATGGCTGGATGCTTGTGATAATACATGTTATTTTGTAACGATAAGGTTTTATTGGGGGGGGGGGGGGTACACGCGCCAGACGAACCCTAAAGCGTTTTCGATGACGCATTTTTGCTGAGGTATTCTCGCCGGAACTTTCGAAGTGAATTAGTATTTATTTGTCTATGCGGTGTAGTTAAACGTCATCCTGGGTTGAATAGTATCGTATTGAATATGTTAACCCGCGAGTTGCTGGGGGGGGGGGGGGGGGGCGTTAAACGCCCCCACTTTTTTTCGCCGGGCCATAGCATAAAAACGGCGCGCCGCAGGCGCGCCAACTTTTGGGTACCTGTAGGAAATTGATCGAAGTTTATTGTGACAAAGTTTCAAAAAAATCGGTCGGAAAATTATTGAGATATCGAGGTTTTAGTGACGTCATGATTTCTGAGTTTTCGACCAAAAACGGCATATGTTCAAAAAATCATATAAAATCACAGAATAGACATACAGACATGCCGTAAACGCCATTAGACTGCCAATACCATGACCAATCAAATGGCTATCTTCGATTATTGATTATCGCTCCGCATTTTCCATAATCTTGAACTGAATCTTGGCAATTTTTCGTGACTACTTCACGACCATGATACTTGCATTTCTTAAATTGAACTTTTTGAGCCAAACACGTACACATATGATAAAATGAATGTCATCATCGTGTTCTACGCCCCAAATTACCTATAAAACATGTGTCACAGGCTGCGAATATCAGTTTTGATTTTCGGGTATATGTGCCTACCCGGTTGACCTGACCTTGACCCTGACCTATGCTTGACTGACCCCTACATGGAGCTGACACTCTTGTAGGCCTTATATGATGGATTGTGCACCGTTTGGACAGAGTTTATGACGAGAGGCGCCCATTGCGAAGTCCTGAAGTCCATGCTACTGAAAGCCCGATTTCAGGTGTTTGACCTGACCTTGACCCGACCTGTGACCTCAAAATTCAACTTTAAAGTACTCATCTGAAGCGTCTCGTCGCGCTCTTTCGTTTGCCGCCTCGTGCGTTTCGCTGCGCCTATTGGTTCTCGAGTTATCGGCTGGGGGCGTTTAACGCCCCCCCCCCCCCCCCCAGCAAACGGTGGGTGGCGAAATACCCCAGCAACTGCCGAGTTAACCTGTGGGCGATTCGACACGAGTTACCGCTTTTCACGGCGGTTCAGAACGTTTGATACGCTGAGTGGCACGATGTATTCATATCGTACACGTGACAGGTATGATTTATGTCCCAAATAAGTTACGGTTATCTGAGGTACACGCACAACACAAAAATAATTCACCTTATACACAAATACTCGTGAAAGTTCGTACAGTACTGGCGAGACATGAAGTAATAGCACAGCCTCAATAATGAAGACATCACCATACGCAGCACACACATTGCGACTATCACTGGATACTGATCTCGTCAGCTACAGTAGCTCTACCACAGGCGTAACGGCAACCAACTCCCAGCGAGGCAGTCAAACATTTAGACGTCAGTCTTATACTCTTATCTCAAAGAGTTAGACAAACTGAGCTCATGCACTCACGCACTGGCGCTCATACACAGGGAAACGCAGACACTCGGACACTCAAACAGACACCCATCGCTAGGGAGGAGGGGGCGACGGAGTGCCCGGCCCCGAATCCTCCCCTTCCGATCCCTCCCCCTCCTCTCCTGACTCCGACTCTGACTCCGACCCCGTCCCCGAGTCCGTGCCACTCTCCCTCTCCCTCTTGCCTTCCTCTCTCCTTTCCTCCTCCTCCTCTTCCTCTTCCTTCATCTCGGGCTCCTCCTCCAGGAGTACATCCAGTTCCTCCAGTGGAAGTCTCAGCCGGAGGCCGGAGCGTGCCATGAGGTCGCAGGCGCGCCTCAGGTGTGTACGGGAGAGGTAGAGATGGACCTGTTTGGACCACGGACAGGCCTGGATGGCACGGTAACACACCGCTTCCAGATCCTGTCGGAAGACGGAAAGGGAAGACGGTTAGGGACGAGATTAGTTTGCTTTTAGTTAGGGAGATATTGGGGTGGGTGGGGAGATGAATGCCTACTGGGTCAATGGGAAACATACGATCAGTGGGGGGGGGGGGGGTAGTCAGGGAGGTTGGGTCGGGGAGACAGCACTGGGTCAATGGGAGTATGTAAAGTGGGCCGAGAGAGACGATGTAGGCTGGGTGACACGCTGGGTTCAATAGTAGAGCGAAATGGATAAATGGGAGATGCGTTGTGGGTTACTGGAAGGCTGGTGGACTTCAGGAAGACGGATGGGGGAAGCTGCATCGAATGAATAGATGTGATATGAACATTTCAGAAGACAGCTGTTGGCTAAGGAAGACGAAGCTTGGTCAGAAGGATGGGACTGGGTCGAGACAGCACGCAGGTCTCAGGGATGCAGTAGGCATTAGGCTCGCGAGATAAAATTGATCTATTGCTGTCTGAGGAGGTAATCCAAACAGGAACTAATGTAAAAGTAGAGAGCACAATATCCGAAACGGCAATATAGCTCGGAAAAGAGAAACACATGAAATGGTGGAATAGATCACATTGTACACAGATCTAGCTGGGGTTCCAAAAATAGAAGAAGGATTTTAGCTATCAGATATAACTCGTACTGCTTATATGTCACACTCTGTCAAAATTCGTGCTGTTTCATCTTTTACTTGTCATATATACTTGCCAAACACCCACCACATTTCGTCCCACCCATCCCTTACCTTCCCCCCGGTCCTCAGTTCCAGCTCCAGGTACAGCAGCCACAGAGGCAACCAGTGCTGGAGCCGGGGCTGCTCCACCAGCCGCGCCAGCCGCCGCCGCAGTCGCGCCGCCACCGCCGCCGGCGTGGGGGAGGCTGGGGAGGGGGGCTCCGCCGGGGGAGGGTTGGGGGAGAGGTGGGCCACCTCACCCGTCGCCCGGAGAAGGGAGAGCAGCGGAGGGTCGGAGTCCGCCGACGCACTGTGGAGAGATGAGGTAAGAAGTCAGACCGTTAGTTGGAAGAATCAGGGGGAATGGGGATGGGACATCGGTGGCAATATAAGTTAAATGTGTGAATACCAAAAAGTCACTGATTGAATAAGCGATACCGAGCCTATACGAGCCGAGTGTAGGCTGAGCGAGCAGTTCATACGACAATCAGGTATAAGAAAACAGCTCTTCCTGTTATCTCTTTTCACACAAGTCTGTCGGGAGCTATCTATTTATCTAGCACACAGTAAAAGTGACAACAGATGCACGAGTCTTCTTTCTCGCCTACAAAAATCACTCCAAAATATACCGTCCAACGAAAACCTGTAATTCAACTCAATATCGACTCCCCCATTTCAACCACCTGAGTCTCTGACGCCAGGGTACGGGGCAGTGGCGGGCCGCCAGAGCGGTCAGCTCGACATCCAGGGGTAGCCGCGCCAGGGCTGCCCGCAGAGCCCTCTGTAGGTGGCTCTGCCAGTTCAGGGGGTCCGCCAGAGGCCGGGCGGCGGCCAGGAGACGGCAGCAGGCGCGGTGCAGGTCGGCGGTCACCCTGGGGGACAAACTAACCGTCAGTCATGGATAGATTGATGAGACGGAGGACAGACGGCATATGAGTACTTAGCAATGTATCGCACTTCACTGTGCCTTAATTTTTTCCAGTTGGTTACATAAATTACTCAATACGATGTGTCTAATATACCATTAAAATAGATCACAAATTCTGGTAAATCACAATATTTTTCAATCTCATTTTACAGTTCCCCACCCCTTTGGTCTATCTCCTCAGTCCTCACCACATATTACCACCCACTCTTCCTGTCCCTCCCCGCCCTACCTCTAATTCTTCCTAGTTCCTATCCCGTTCCGTTCCATTCCTTTCCCATCCATTACTCCTACTCACCTATCCGTCTCTCTGCTCCTGTTCTTTCCGAGGTCTCCCAGCACTGCCGTGAACACCTCAGCAGCCTCCTGCATCCCGGCCGTGACCAGCTGACACCAGGACAGGCAGCACGTCACGAACACGACGGTAGGAGGCGGCCTACCGCCGGCAGCCAGGCTCGTCAACTCTGGTAGTAGGCGCCTCAGACGAGACACAGTCCGGGCTAGATGGTGGGCGGGAGGGGTGACGCCGGGCTGAAGCGAGGTCACCTCACCACTAAACAGAGCGCTGAGCGCGGCACGGCAGCCGTCGGAGGGGTTCGGACCGGAGGATAACACCAAACACCATCGGTGAACTAGTTCAAACCGGATTGGGTCGTCGGCACCACACTGGGATAGAGCGGTTTGTAGAACCCGAGCGGAGGACTCCACTGCACCGGTCGACCGCTCAAACTGAGCGTACTCGATGAATAGAGGCACGCTGTGGCGCTCAGATTTGAGGATGGCCTTCATTTTCTTTCGAGCTTCCTTTACTGCGCCGGCTGCGGCGGCAGTGGTGGTGGTTTTGGCGGAAAGTCGAGCTGCGCGTCGGGCGATTATTCGAAGTCTGTGCTGAAGCAGCCTCGTCCGGTGCTCTCCCGACATTGCCGTCGCTGTTTGCTCTAGAACCCTGTCCACGAACGCCGCGTACTCGGGCGAGTCCAAGTTCGGGCCGAGGGGAGGCATGGTGAGCGGTTCTTCGGGCGAGTCCATTTTCTCCGAAAGGGGAGGTAGCTCTGGTGAAGGAAGAAGCTTTTCCACTCCAGCGGCAAGCATTCGGAGGGTATCATCATCTTCACTGGCCATTGTGTGACTCTCATCACCACACAAAAACGTCACAAAGTCCTCAACTAGTCGCACTCGCCTCTCCGGCGCCACTCTGAACAGAAAACCTCTCACATCCTCAAAGAGGACAATCCGATCCGTATCCTCACAGTCGTCCTCCTGACCGGGCCGGTCCCAGGGTAGCCAGTGTCGGGCCGCGCGACCCGCCTCCGCCGCACGCCAGACCTCAGCTCGAGGTTTCCCAGAAGACAGAAGTTCCAGTTCGGTTTCATCATCTGGCTCTTCGACTTCAGCTCCCCGCCCGTTGGTACGCAAAGCCAGCTCCGTGGGCCAGCCGCGCGCGTTTGGCTCA